ATAATCCTTCTTTCTTTTGGATAAACACAACCAAAATAAAAAAGCTATTAAAAAAATATCCTATCGAAGCAAATTATTTACAGGCACAGATGGATGAGTTTTGAGAAAATTTTACAAAAATCTCTTCAAAAACAAAAAAAACTTAATGAAAACTTGCAAAACCATTTTGAAGATCGAATTCAAAATATTCTTGCAGATGATGAAAATACTTTTCTTAATGAAAAATTTACTGCTAATGAACTTTTTCAATCTGCCCTCTCCCTTGAACAAAATAAATCTCCCGGAATCGACGAAATTCCTGTAGAACTCTGGAATAGGACATAGGGAATTTATGGTGTGGAGTTCACCCGTTTAGCAAATGAAAACTTTTTTGAAAAAACCGAAAAACCAAATTCCTTGGACCAAAAGGACGGCAGTGATTAGTCTTCTTCCAAACGATGGAGACTAATCGCTGCTGGGGAACTGGAGGCCTATCTCTTTGCTTTGTGCTGACTACAAGATTGTCACAAAAGCGCTGGCTTTGAGAATGGCTAAGGTTTTCGAAAAAATCCTTGAACCCTCCCAAACATACTCAGTACCCGGAAGGAGCATTTTTTTGAACTTGCTTCTGGTTCGAGACCTCATCTACTACACCGACGAAAACTCAGTGCTTTCTTGATGTCTTTGGACCAGGAAAAAGCTTTCGATAAGATAGATCGAAATACCTCATTAAAAAACTTCATAAGTTTAATCTCAATAACAATTTCATAAATGCCATCAAACAAACTTTTAAAAAAACCTTATCCATATTTACCAACAACGGGTACCTGAGCAAGCCAATTCAAATAAAAAGAGGAGTTCGACAGAGAAATCCAATCTCTTTGATGCTTTACTGTGTGGCAGTGATAACACTCGCCCTTGAGTTTAAACGCAACCAAAACATTGATGGGATTCAACTCCCTGGTACAACTCCCTTGAAACTGTTGCAGTTTGCTGACGACACCGCTATCGCTTGCAAAAATCCCTAATATCTTAGCGAATTTTTTTCTGTTCTAAAGTTATTTGTAAACGCAACCGGCTCCAATATAAATGTCGCTAAAACTAAAGCCCTTGCGCTGGGGGGACTCGAAAACAAAATTCATAATTTACAATATAAAGATTTTGTTATAAACTGGTCAAACCAAGACGGTATGAAAGTTCTTGGTATAACCTTTTTAACAATTTTAAAAAGACAGCTGAATTTTACTAAACTTTACTAAAGTTCTAAAAAACTTTACTAAAGTTCTAAAAAACTTTACTAAAGTTCTAAAAAACTTTACTAAAGTTCTAAAAAACTTTACTAAAGTTCTAAAAAACTTTACTAAAGTTCTAGAAAATTTTAAAAATAGAAACGTTTTGTTAAAATGTAGGGCGATGTTTGTGAACACGCTAGCCCTGTCAAAGGTCTGGTATGTTGCAAACATCTTTCTTATTAATAAAAACTACGAAAAACTATTAAAAAACAAACTTCAATTTATTTGTGGCAAAACATCTTTGCAGAGCCTCAAAAAAGAAATATTTTAAATTTAATAATAGATAAAGGGGGTTTAGGTATTCTCGACGTCATAAAGCAATGCACAGCTTTAAGACTAAAGCATCTCATGCAATTCCGAGAAGATCTAAATCCTCGTGAGTTTATTTTTAAAAACATATTATCTTCTTTATTCTTTAGACAAATATGCAAAAAAAGGTTATACCCAATGGAACTTTCTTACCGGAGTAAAGTTTCCTAAGTCTTTAAAAGAACTTCCATTTTATTATTTTGATGTGGTAAAACTTTTAAAAACTAAAGAAAATCTTTTTAAAGAAAAAAACTTTACAACCAAAAAAGTTCTCTTTTTCTTGGGTGACCAGGAAGACTATAATAATTTAACAAAAACTCAATTATATTGGGAAAATACTTTTGAAACCAAATTGCCTTGGGATAAGATCTGGTTGAGATGCTTCAGATCTTATGCCTAAGGCCTCTCTCAAAATACTCAATGGAAAATGTTTCAAAACATTTTATCCACTAAAAAAAATGCAAACTGTGGGTAAAAAATCGCGGACGAGCCAACACCAATTGTCTTGTCTGCATTCAAAACGAAAATACTCTACACCCTTTTGTATACTGCAAAATTGCCTAAACGATTTGGTATGATTTAAAGTTTGTGTACGAGAAACTACTTCCGCAGAAAATGTTCAACAACATACATGTCGTTTTCTTTTTAAACATTGAAAAGTTATCAAAATTAGACCCAAAAGCGAAACTAATTACGGCTCTAACAAACATTATAACTACTGAGCTATGGCGCTCAAGGAACCTGAGGCTTTTGGAAAATAAAGTCCTTTCTAGATCCAAAATAATTTAAAACATTATAAAAGAAATTAAATATATATGGAAAATAAAAAATGAAAAGTATAAACGTGAAAACGATAACGAAAAGTTTCATACTTTGTTCTCCATTAACGTTGCGATATCGAAACAAAACGAGGTAGATCTCGTGTTTACACTATAAATAAGCAACCATATTAAAATGATCTGCCTTTTTTTATTAAATTTGTTTATGTTTACGAAAAGCATGTTCCCAGTAGCCCTGTGGGAGCGACGGACATGCTTTTATTTTTAAATGCACGGCTTAACGGCCAGCAGTTTTTATTATAAACTGATGTTACATAAAAGCATGACCCAGCAGCCTTGTGATGTGACGGTCATGCGTTTATTATTTAAACGCGTAGCTTAATGGCCATTGAAATATTTTTTTAACTGTTTTTTTTCACTTGTTGAGTTTTTTTGTATTACATTACTATAGAGTTTTTACTTTTGATATTGTTAATCTTCTTGACCTCCGGGGTAAAAGGGGTGTGGTTTTTGAACAACTGCTATTATTATTTAAACAATAGCGTTTATTTATAAAAGGAGTTATTGATAAACAATGCGAGTCTGAAAGATACTTTCGAAATTCGTAAGTTATTTTTAGAAACACGTAATTTTCTTGAATTTTTTTCTTGCGGTTTATTTTTATTTTTCAGGTTTTTTTTTTTTTAATTTTCAAACCACAAGAGTTTCACATATTAAAAAATCTTTTTTGCTATTTTATGAAAGTTTTCTTATATTTTTTGTATAAATAATTTATATAAATATATATATATAGAAAAATAAAAAACTTTTTATAATCAAATTTTGAAAAAAATTATAACAAAACTATAACTTATTATAAATTATAACAAAATTATAACTTTTCTAAGTAATAAGTTTGTGCGGTTTCAAAAGTTTTCGTTTTCTTCTCGTATTTTTTTTGATTTTCGCTTTTATGTTAAAAAAAAAAAACCCGCATCAGAGAAGTATATAACAAATATGCAAAGATAAAATATTTTTTAAAGAAATTTTATTGCATTTTGAGTTTATGATCAATATTTATCTAAATATTTATTATCAGAATACATTGTAAAGAAAAAAGAAAGTATCTGTTTTTATCAGTTTGATATATGGTACGCTAACACAGTCTGGCTTATATATTATTCTGATTTTTGGCATTAGGTCATGGGATCATAGGTTTACCTTGTCTGACCACGGGTTGCCTAGGCTTTGCACTACTGCTGAGCGCGGCCCAGAATGTAAATAAATGAAATATTTTGACTTTTAGAGTGTCTAACATCGCCAATGGTCTCAGCTGCTGCTGCTGATGACGACGACGATAATGATTTGACGTACTAATGCATACTAAAAGTACATTGTTGAAGACGGCGTCTGTCCGACTGCAGGCGTCTCACAGACGGCGTCTGTGACTCACAGACGGCGTCTGTGGCTACAGTGTTCAGTTATCGCTTTACGGCCTAATGGCTAAGATTAAAAAATTTAGTTATTAGCCGTGACAGTGGTTTTGAACTGGTCTGAGAAATTTTCTTTGAGTTTTATCAATTACTTTGCCATGGACGATAAACAAGCGAATCAACAAGTCGATACAGAAGAAGATACGATAAAAGAACAAGCTCGTGTAAATGTCGAAAAGATGCAATTCGTGCAAAACCTGTCGACTGCGGCTGAATCGAGTCACTTTATTTCGAATCCCGATATCAGCTACAGCTCTGATGATGGAAGCGATGTCAGCGATATTCCGTTCCTAAAAATTTCGAAACGCCGGACAGTGAAGGAATGCCTCGCGGAGAAAGTGCTGAAAAATGCTGACGATTCTTGAACGTTGTGGAACGTCCTTTGGAAGCCGTAAACTCCACGACCTTTAAGGAACAACCAAGAAAAACCTATGCGAAAGCCGTTAGACTATTCAATCAAAACCGGCGCTACCGAAAACACTGCTCTCGAGATTACAAACGGAGTGTGCATTAAATGATGTCCTTTACGCTTTCCAAACTGCAAAAATCGACTAAGAAATAGAAGGTATTCAGCTGATTCACCGCTCGAAAGTTGTTGAAGTAATAATGAAAACCCAAATAGCGAAACTACGGCTTTTAGAAAACGGATTAAATATCAAAAAGCTTTATCATCGTTTTTCCTCCATCGACTAACGACCGAAATATGACGTACAACGTATCAATATTTGGTTTACCTCTTGAAGCGATTAATATGCCGGCTGGGCAATTTTTAGCAAACATGGGATATGGAAAAAGTGTTACTATCAGACCTATTATGCGAGAAACACCAGGTAACAAAACACCGCATTACTATGGAATCCTCGTTGCCGAATTGGACGATCTAAATGTTCGTATACCTAGACATCTTGTTTTGAAAGGGCATTCGGTACGTTCAATGTACACGTAGAACCCCGTAGGTAATGCTGTCGATTTCGATTAGGAAAACGAATTTGACCACGTTCAAGAAGATAAAACTGCAGAAACAATCACGAATCCAAACCCAGTTGAATTTCTGCTTAGTATTCCAGTTACGTGTTAAGAGCTCAATGGTCCCAAAGAAGCGGGTATGTCAGTGGTGGAAGATCTGGAGGATCTAAAATGATGCCGAGTTTGTGGCTTCTTCCACAGTGATGGAAGTAGAAACTACATCAATCATGATTGACGATGTAGCGACTACCCCGTCCCTCGACACCTCAGTCCTTCCCGGAACAATAAGGGAAGTAAATGTCACTACCGGAGCCGATTCTTCCACCAACACAACCGTTGGAAAAGAATTCATCATGGAACACGATATTAGTATCGTCAGTAACAGCGATATGTCGATAGTTAGTCCTGAAACTGATCATGCCGCTTTAAAAAATCCGAAACAGAAAATCTCGTTGCCGAAAGAAACGACCGATAACGATGCGAGCGACAAAAAGAAAAAAGTCGACCCATCACTAAAACCGTTTAATTACCGAGAAAAAAGTTTGAAAGACGAAAGTTCTAGCCTTTCAAAAAATGTATCAGTTGAAGATCGAGAAAGATTGCTCGGCCTAATAATGGCACTACGTTACGGGCCAATAAATGACAGAAATAAACTCGAACTTAATCAACATCCATTTAACATGCGACAAAATACCAGAACAAACTGGATTAGGAATGCCTCGTCCGACAAAAAGTTGTTAACCAACATCATAAACAAATTATACCAAATGTACAACCGAGAGTCAAAGAACAACGAAGAAGATGTAAGAATAAAATTTTTTTTTTTTTTCTTATTTCTATATAAACGGCTTTTACAACTTTAATACGAAATTTTTGTTTGAGAGGGGAATATTTTACTGAGAAAACTATTCTTTTTTCTTCAAAAATAATTTTGTTTTGATAATCAAGCTGTGTTAAATAAGTTTGAATTTTTTTGTATAGCTTTCTCAGTAAAATAAAATGGCAGTAAAAATTTTATATTTGAATGTTAACGGTTTCAATAGAAAGTATTTTCATATGAACATCAAAATTTTAAAACTAGAATTGACAGGACATACGTTTCAAATAGTTTGTTTAATTTAATTCCAACTTGCGAATACAAAAAGGTGGGTTGGAGTGACCATAACTCGGTGCGAAATCCTCTTCGAAGAGGAGAATCTGCGGGGGCCGGGATATTGGCACTTAAACTCATCTTTAATAAACGATAAAAAATTTATAGAAATGCTCAATACTGAATTTGAAATTAATCAAAAACAAATCTCTTTTGAAAACTCTAACCAAGCTTGGGAATATGCCAAGTCTACCCGACGGGCATTTGTTTTTTAAAAGTTACGTTCTAAATGTATTTTAAATGTCTTCTAAACATTCTTACACAAAAAACGCTTAGAAGACATTTAAAATACATTTAGAATGTAACTTTTAAAAACAAATGCCCGTCGGGTATGGTTAGGAGTTATAGCGGAACAAAGAAGACGCAAATTAAGAAAAGAAAAAAGGAAAAAAGCTAATATTTTAGAACAGTCTCTGAATGCAGAAAATCTAAAAAGCAATGTTGACGAAGAAAAAATTAAACGAATCAAAAAAGAACTATCTGGATTAATTAACAAAAATGGTGTGTTTGTCCGAACGAAACAAGTAATACTCGAAGTGGGAGAAATACCCTCTCGATTCTTGTTTCTTTTGGAAAAACACAACCAAAACAAAAAAACTATTAAAAAAATATCCTATCAAAGCAAAATATTTACAAAAACTAATGAAATTCAAAAAGTTTTGAGAAAGTTTTACAAAAAACTTTACAACAATAACAAACTTGATGAAACTTTGCAAAACCGATTTGTTGACAAAATTCAAAATATTCTTTCAGACGATGAAAATACTATTCTTAACGAAAAATTGTGGAAACGCTTGCCCTCGGGTTTAAACGCAATCAAGGCATCGAGGGGATTCAACTTCCTGGCAGAAATCCTTTGAAAATGTTGCAATTTGCAGACGACACCGCCATCGCTTGCAAAAACCCCCAATGCATTAGCCAAATTTTTTTAGTGCTAAAACAATTTGAAAACGCCACTGGCTCAACATTAACATTTCAAAAACAAAAGCCCTTGCGCTAGGAGGACTTGAAAACAAATTTCAAAATTTAAATTTTTAAGACTTTGTCATTGACTAGTCCAACTAAGAGGGTATGAGGGTTCTTAGTATGACTTTTTTCAGCAATTTAAAAAAGACATCCAAGATCAACTTTAACAAAGATGTCGAGAAATTCATTAAAACTTTAAAAATTTTGAATATAGAAACGTTTCGTTAAAATGTAGGGGGATGTTTGTGAACACGCCAGCCCTATCGAAGGTTTGGTTTGTTGCAAACGTCTTCCCTATAAACAAAAAACCACGAAAAAACTATTTAAAAAGAAACCTCAAGTTATTTGTGGCAAAGCAACTTTGCTGAGCCAATAAAAAGAAATGTTTTAAATTTAAAAATAGATAAAGGGGGTTTAGGTATTCTCGACGTCAAGAAGCAATGTACTGTTCTTAGACTAAAACATCTAATGCAATTTCGAGAAGATCTAAATCCTCATGAAATTTTCTATTTTAAAAAATATTACCTTGCCTACTCTTTAGCCAAATACGCTAAAAGAGGTTATGGTCAATGGACTTTTATTACCGGAGTAAACTTCCCCAAGTCTTTGAAAGAACTGCCATTCTATTATGTTGATGTGGTAGAACTTTTAAAGACTAAACTAAATCTTTTCAAAGAAAAAACGATAACAACTAAAAAAGTTTACTCTATCTTGGGTGACTAGCAAGACTTTATTAATTTAAACAAAACTCAAGTATTCTGGGAAAACACGTTTAAAACTAAAATGCCTTGGGATAAGGTCTGGGTAAGATGCTTCAGATCTTACGCCCAAGGGCCATCCAAAAGACACAGTGGAAAATGTTTCAAAACATTATACCCACTAAGGAAAAATGCAAAATGTGGGTGAAAAATCGCGGACGAGCCAACACCAATTGTCTCGTCTGCAACCACAACGAAAACACTCTACATCCTTTTGTTTATTGCAAAGTTGCGCGAGCAATCTGGTGTGGGTTGAAGTTTGTTTTCGAGAAACTTCTTCCGCAGACAAACTTTAACACCATACATGTTCTATTCATTTAAATATTAAAAAATTATCAAGAACAGATCCAAAAGCAAAATTAATTACGACTATTACAAATAATATAACTACCGAAATATGGCGCTCAAGGCACCTGAGAGTGATGGAAAATAAAATCCTTTCACCGCCCAAAATAATCAAAAATATTATAAAAGAAATTAAATATATATGGAAAATAAAATGTGAAAAGTATAAACGTGAAAACAATATCAAAAAGTTTTATACTTTGCTTTCCATTAACGATGCAATATCGAAAAAAAACGAGCCTAATCTCGTGTTTACCCTACAAATAAACAACCATATTAAAATGATCTTTTCTTTTTATTAGTTGTGTTTATGTTTACGAAAAGCATGTCCCCAGCAGCCCTGTTGGTGCGACAGACATGCCTATATTTTTTAAATGCATGGCTTAATGGCCAGCACTTTTATATATAAACCAGAAAAACGGAAAGCATGACCCCAGCAGCCCTGTAATGTGACGGTCATGCGATTATTTTTTAAATTCAAGGATTAATGGCCAGCCATATATTTTTTAAAAACTTGGTTTACTTTTTTATGAGTAAAAATTTTTATCCCAATTTCTTTAGAAAATATTCTCAAAACTTGATTATTTGTTTAAACTTTGTCTAAACAATAAAACGTTTTTGTTTTTTTTGTTATATATGAGAATGGTGATGATTTTACTAAGAGTTTTGCGGTTTGTCTTTGATTTCGAGTTTTTCTTTTGATTTAAAACCGCAATAACAATAAAAAAGATAACTTAACTTGAAAAGATAATAATTAATTTTTCAGCAATAAAGATTAAAAATTTATTGCATAATGACTTTTGCGGTTCTATTTTTTCGGATTTTCGTTTTTCTTTTTCGTTATTTTTTAATTTGTAACCGCAAAAATAATTTAAAAAAAAATAATAAATTATAGTTTTTATTAAAATATTTTGAACTTATATATATATAAACTGTACGACATCTTTTTTTGTAAAATTTTTTTTTGCAAGAAAAAAATTTGTAAGAAAAAAAAAAGTATCTGTTCTTGACTGATTATGCAGAGCCTTGATTGATTATGCAGAGTTCTTGAATGATTATGCAGAGCCCATTAAGAGGGAAATTCTCAACCTGCCTATCGATAAAGGCGGTTTTGGAATTCTAGACCCAATCAAACAAGGTCTAGCATAACGTTTAAAACATCTTTTCAATATAAAAGAAATCGAAAAACCACACGAATCGCTTCTATTACAGAGATACTTCCTTGCTTCACACCTAAGTCGACAAGCACATCAGAAGCATGAGCAATGGAAGTTTTTAAATAGAAACAACTTTACTAAAACATTAAATCCCCCTCCTTTTTATTTTCAAGATACTATCAAACTACTAAGAGAAAACGAGGAGTTATGCGCAATGAAACAAAAGATCGCAAAAAATATATACTCCCATCTTTTTACAAAAGAATCAAGTCAAAGCACATTAAAAGTACAACTGATGTGGGAAAATATGTTTCAAAAAAGCCTTCCTTGGGACAAGATATGGATGAGGTGCTTTCTTTCGTACGCACAAGGCATAAGTCAAAACACGATGTTGAGACTGTTTCATGACAGTCTCCCAACATATAAAAAACTACAAAAATGGAGGAAGAAATTTCAATATAATACACGCTATCTTTTCAATAAACATAAAAGATCACCAAAAAAAAGAGATGAAAACGCAAAACTTGTAACTACCCTTACCAATATAATTACAACAGAACTTTGGAGGGCAAGGAATAAACGACTAAAGGAAAATGAAGAAGCCTCTACAAAAAAAATAAATGAAAATGCTAAAAAAGAAATAAAATATATTTGGAATATACAGTACAACATGTGTAAAACAACACAAAATTTAGACAAACTTTATTCCATTCTAGTGGTCCTAACTTGTATAAAGGTCTACTTGCCTTCTTAGTGATTTTGTGAGATTTACCTTGGCCTTTACACGGGTTGTCAAGGCAAGCGTTATTAAAGTCTACTAGCTTTAGTGAGAAAAAAGTGGCAGAGAGTTTATAGAGATAGTAGATCTCAGTGAGTTTATTTAAAGTGTGAGTGATTATAAAGAGGTTGGTTAGACCTATTTTTGAGGTCTACTGGCGTCAGTGCGTCCGAGTGGCTGATAGATTTACAAACGGTTAGTACTATTTACCATGTTACTAATAAAGCTAAAATCATCCGTGAAAATAGATACTGATAATAGAGATTGTACAGACAAAACCACATGCTATGCACAAACTACTAGCAAAACTTATGCGCGAGTCGCAACTAATAACAGCTATGTGAACGAACATAGCTCCTTTAAAAATACCCTTTTAAGTAAGGTAAAAACTAAAATCAGTGACAACAATTTCTTATTGACGTTAGAAGACGCCGGATACGATAAGTTCCTTTTTGGATACCAACAAATCCGTAACGGCTCATTAATCAAGATTGTTAATCGAACCATTGATTCTACCAATCAACTCCAAGTAGGAAAATTAGCAAAAGAGTAACTGTGTCTATTCTGGGCTTACCAATTGTAAAAAGTAATTTTCCTCCCGGGAAGTATCTTGAGGATTTAGGTTACGGAAAACACACAAGAACTAAACCTATAAATAAAACAACACCAAAGAACAAAACACACTATTACTCTGGTATTATTGTCGCGATTATAGACAAACTAGAAAAACCGATCTCTAGATTCAATCAACCTAAATGGTTATAAAGTCAGGGCGATTTACAATGGTCAAAAGGATGTTGGAAAACCACAAAGTAGAAAGATATTAACGCAGAAAAACATAGGAGAAGATGTAAACGAACCCACCAGGAACTTTAACTTAGAAACACCACTAGTAGATAGACAAAATCCACTTATTACAACGACCGAGGATAAAGAAGAAGATAAGGAAACGGAAAAAAGCGAGGACGAAGTAGAAACACAAAAAACAGCAAAAACTATAGAGGTTCAACCTAAAAAAAATCAAGATATAACAACAGCAATCGAAAACGATATTAGTAAAAACGGGGAAAACGAAAACATAGCAGATGAAGAATATGAAAAAGATAGTAAGAAGGATATTAATGATGACGAGTATAATCTAGATAATGATAGCAATAAAAATAGTGATGAATACGAGGTACCAGATGATTTTCTGGACTTGGAACATGTAGAAAAAGTCGAGCATAACTGGAACCTATTCAAAAACTTTGATCGACTTAATTGTAGTGACGAAGAACTGAAAAAGTTCAAAACTTTTAAAAAACATAAGTGGCGACAATATGATTTATCCTTAGATTTATATAAAAGAATTGAAACAAAAACAAACTTTGTATCAATTGAATTTAAAGAAATGGATTCCGGAGAAATGTATGCATACAATTCGAAAGAATTCAAAAAATTTTTATTTAAAACAGCAAAAAATAATGAAAGAGGAAGATATTAGGCGTGTAAAAAAGCAGAGTAGGAACAGCGAAGAATAGAATACTCACAACTTAATTTAGACCATGAAATGAAACAAGAAGAACGAAACCTAAAAAAAACAAATCTATCAATCTAAAAAACAAAAGCTAACAATACAAGCAGAACATAACTAACAAATTAAATAAATATTAAAATACAATCAAAACCGAATTACACTAATAAAATAACAAAAAAATCGTAAAATAATGTTCTTACAGGGTTAGTAAAGTAATGTTCTTACCTACATAATAGTCTTCCAACATCTGAGAAAATACAAAAATGGAGGAGAAACAGAGGAAGAGGTAACGCATTGGGTAAATCGTGCACACTTATAGAAACAACCTTACATGCCTTTGTTTTCTGTACATTGGCAGGGCCAGTGTGGAAAGCGTTTAAACCTGCCTCTGAAAAACTCTTACCAAAAATACCTTTTAATATAATACAGACCATTTTTTCCATAAAAAATGGTCTGTATTATAAAATCAATTGGATTTAGCAAGAGACAGCTTTTATAAATTTAGGTCTACTGGCCTATTAGAACAGTTTAGTATAGTTTAATAAAGATTAGTATAGTATATAAAATTACCGAGCCTTATCCACGGGTAGCATTAGGTTCTAAAATTTATTAATTATTATGGATTTTAATGCTTAAACTCGCGTTGGTAAAACTCATGTAGTTAAGAGCTATGCTCAAGCCGCTACAAGAGAAAATGATACTTTAAAACCTTTAAGTAATACCTTGTTATGTTTTTTAAATACTCCGTATAATGTAGAGGATATACTTATCGCTCTAGAAGAGCAAAACTTAGACATATATCTTTAAGGACTTCAAGTTATTCGTGGTGGATATATGGCAGAAATTTTAATGAAAACTGAATTATCTAGAAATATCCTCCTTGAAAGAGGGCTTAATATTAAAGATGAACACTATCGACTCTATTACTCGAAACCCAACAAAACACTAGCAGTCCCAAGGAGAACAATCTCAATTTTTGGCCTGCCCCTTAAGTGTGCAGAGATTGATGTGGGTGAAAAGCTAGAGGGTTAAGGATATAGAAAACATATATCCACGAGACCTCTGTTAAAAGAAACAAAGAAAAACAAAATAACATATAATACTGGTATCCTTTTAGTCGTTTTGGAAGAAATGCCTAAACCTATTCTGAGCAAATTAAACCTGAAAGAATATAATGTTAAAGTAGTCCATTGGGCAAACAGAGTACAAACCTAAAAATAAAAATCCAATTTAAAAGAAAGAAAACGAAGAAATAAAAAAATCTTCAAAAAATAAAGATCTTAACAGTAAGGATGGAACCGCTAATGATGAAAGTGTTGCAGATTCTAAAACAGCTCAAACTAACAGTGACTACCTAGCAAATGAAATAAATGACACCCGAATTCATGGAATGAGGTGGAAAACCAATATAAAAAAAAAGAAAAGGAAAAATAGTTTAGAAAAACACAAACTCGATATCTATAAATGAAAATATAAAACAAAAAATAATTAAAAATAATACGAAAATAAAAATATAAAACAAAAAATAATTAAAAATATAAAACTAAAAATCAAACAAAAATACTAAATTAATATTCAAATAAAAATATAAAATGAAAAATTATAAAAAATATTATTAAATTATTAAAATCAAATGTATTCTATGTTAAAATGGAGTTTAAAATAATCTCACTTAATGATAAATAAATGGTCTTAATGACCATGTTAAACGATGGAAAATTATGAGTTTCTTTATAAATACAGAAATTGACTTTATTTGTATACAAGAAACTCACTGCACCCAAGCTAACATGTCTAAATGGATAAACTCATCTTTAAATAATGATAAAAAATTTATACAAATGCTAAAAAACGAAATTGAAATAAATCAAAACTAAAACTTTTTTGAAAACTCTACCCAAGCCTGGGAATATACCAAGTGCATAGTTAGAGTTATAGCAGAACAGAGAGGACGCAAAATAAAAAAAAAAAAGAGAAAAAACATTTCTTTTAAAATGCAGATATTTTTCTTAAATTTTTCAAAACATTTCTTTTAAATGCAGAAAGACTTAAAAAAAAATATTGACGAAGGAAAAATCAAACGTATTAAAAAAGACCTTTCTGAACTAAATAACAAAAGTGGTGTGTTTGTGCGAACGAAACATGTAACAATCGAGGAGGCACAAATACCCTCTAGATCCTTGTTTCTTCTGGAAAAATACAACCAAAACAAAAAAACTATTAAAACTATATCCTATAAATATAAAAACTCTACTGATACAGATGGAATCCAAAAAGTTTTGAGAAAATTTTACAAAAAACTTTGAAATAATGAAAAACTTGATGAAAATTTGCAAAACAATTTTATTGATAAAATAGTAAACATTCTTAAAGATGATGACAATACATTTCTTAATGAAAAACTTACTGTACATGAACTATATCAATCCGCCCCATCCCTTGAAAAAAAATAAATCACCGGAAATCGACGGAATTCCTGTTGAGTTCTGGCAAAGAACATATGGTGTTTATGGGAAGGAGATCACCCGTTTAGCAAATGAAAATTTCTTTGAAAAAACTGAAAACCAAATCCCATGGACCCAGGCGACAGCAGTGATTAGTATCTTTCCGAAATGTGGAGATTTATCGCTGCTGCAGAACTGGAGGCCAGTCTCATTGCTATGCACTGATTACAAAATCTAACTGAAGCCATTGCTATGCGCTGATTACAAAAACTGAAGCCATTCTCAAAGCGCTAGCCTTGAGAATGGCTTCAGTTCTCCAAAAGATCTTTGAACCATCTTTTCAAAGTTGTTTCCGGTCTGAGACCTCATCCACTACACCGAAGAAAAAAGAATCGATGCTTTCTTGATGTCTTTGGACCAGCAAAAAGCTTTCGATAAGATGGATAGAAACTTTCTTATTTGAGTTTAAAAAAAATTCAATTTTAAAAACAACTTCGTAAACGCTATTAAACACTAAAAACACTTAATCTATAATGACTAACAACGAATACCTGAGCAAGCCCAAACCAATTAAAAGGGTAGTTCGACAGAGAGACCCGATATCCCTGATGCTTTACTGTGTGGCAGTTTAAACGCTTGCCCTCGGTTTTAAGTATAATCAGGAAACTGAGAGAATTTAACTACCTGGAACGACTCCCATAAAGCTTTTGCGATTTGCAAAAATGTAGCCTGTGTGAACCCAAAGTGTTTAGGCGAAATTTTTTCAGTATTAAATTCTTTTCAAAAAGCTACTGGCTCAAATATTAATGTAGGAAAAACAAGAGCGTTTGCGTTGGGGGGACTTGAAAACAAATTTGATAATTTACAATTTGAAAATTTTGTTTGTAACTGGTCAAATTAAGACGGTATGAAGGTCCTTGGTATCACCTTCTTTAACAACTCAAAAAAGACACCTGATATTAATTTTAGAAAGGCTGTCGAAACGTTTAGAAACGTATAGAAACGTTTCACTAAAATGAAGGGGGATGAATATATAGAAACGTTTCACTAAAATGTAGGGGGATGTTTGTGAACACGCTAGCTTTGTCAAAGGTCTGGTTTATTGCAAACGTCTTTCCAATGAATAAAACACATGATAAAATATCTAAGAAAGAAATTTCAAGTTTTTGTGGCAAAGCAATTTTGCTGAGCCCATAAAAATAAATATTTTAAATTTAAAAGTATATAAAGGGGGTCTGGGTATTCTTGATGTCTTACGGCAATCTGTTGCCTTGAGACTGGAGCATTTGATGCATATTCGGTGAAGATCCAAATCTCAACGAAAGTTTTTTTCTTCAAAGGTAAATTCTGGCGTATTCGCTAAACAAATACATTAAAAAAGGTATACCCAATGGACCTTTTTTACCAGAGTAAACTTTCCAAAATCTTTGAAAGACCTACTAATTTAATACTCTGATGTGGTAGATCTTTTGAAGACTAAAAATAACATTTTAAAGAAAAAATTATAACAACCAAAAAAGTTCACTTAATCTTGGGTGACCAGGAAGACTACATAAACTTGAAAAAAACTCAGATGTTTTGGGAAACACAATTCAAAACCAATTTGCCCTGGGATCTGGTTGCGATCCTTTAGATCTTGTGCCCAAGGCTCCTCCCAAAACACTTAGTGAAAAATATTACAAAATATATTACCAACTAAAGAAAAATGCAAATTATGGGTTAAAAATCGCGGACGAGCCAATACCAGTTGTCTCATCTGCAACCAAAATGAGAACACACTGCATCCCTTTGTTTGTTGTAGTGTTGCACGTCAAATTTGATAAGCTTTAAAGTGTGTTCACGAGATAATTTTTCTGCAGATACGCTTCAATCCAATCATGTGATACTTTCTTTAAACATCCAAAACTTACCCAAACTAGATCCTAAAGCAAAACTCGTTACAACTATTACAAATATTGTACATAAATATGGCGGGCAAGAAACTTGAGTGTGATGGAAAATAAAATCCTCTCACCCACCAAAATAACAAAAATCATTAAAAAAGAAAGTAAATATATATGGAAAATTAAGTATGAGAATTATAAGCGCGAAAATAATTTTGAAAAGTTTTTTACTTTCTTTTCCGTTAATGATGCAGTTTCGAAATAACACGAGCAAGAGCTTGTGTTTACCATTTAAAAACAACCATATCAAAATTTTGTTTCGATAAAAGTTTATGTTTTATTTTCAAGAAAAGCACGTCCCCAGCAGCCCTAGTGGGTGTAAAGGACATGCGTTTATTTTTTAAATGCATGATTTAATAGTCAGCACTTTATATTATTAACTAGTGTTACAGAAAAGCATGACTCCAGCAGACTTGTGGTGATACGGTCATGCGTTTAATATTTAAATGCGAGGCTCAATGGCCAGCCATATATTATTTAAACTGTCTTTTTTACTTGTTGATTTTTTGTATTACTTTATTATTTAAGTTTTTACTTCTGATATTATAAATTTTTTTTTGACCTCCGGGGATACATGGGTATGGTTTCAGCCCAACCGATATGTTTATTCAAACAATAGCATTTATTTTTTGAATGATTTTATCATCAATAAAGCGAGTTTGAAAAACACTTTCGGAATTCGAAAGTTATTTTTACAGACACGTAGTTTTTTGAATGTTATTCTTGAGGCTTATATTTTGTTATTAGTTTTTGTTTGCTTTAATTTTCAAACCACAAGAGTTATATATTCTGAAAAAATCCTTTTTGCGTTTTTACGAAAGCCTTCTTGTGTTTTTATTTAGAAAATTTATATATATTAATATATTAAGAAATTTTAAAAACCTTTATAAACAATTTTTAAAAATCAATTTAAAAAAAAAAACAATAACGAAATTTAAAACATTTTTTTTTTGACTTTTGAAAGTAATATGTTTGGGCGGTTTTGAAAGTTTTCGTTTTCTTTTCATATTGTTTTTGATTATCGATTTTTCGTTTTAAAAAAAACCCGCATCAGATAAGAAAAATGCAAAAGTAAAAATGTATAGTATTTCATGTTTGTGATCAATATTTATTTATACTTTATTGATTTTTGTAAATATTTATTTTCAGAATACATTGTAAAGTAAAAAAAAAAAAAGTATGTTATTGTATATTATCGTATATGTATATGATCGCTAGTATATATATGATCGTATATGTATATGATTGCTTGTAAATGTATATGATCGTATGTATATGTATATGATCGCCTCTCGGCCAAATGGCTAAGATCGAGTGTAGTAACTGTTTTTGATTTAAGCCGAGACAGCGATTTATAAAGTGTTAAAAGTGGTTTAATAGTAGTGTTATAGGATTTTTGTTGAAATTTTGGATTGTTACGATATAATCTCAAACATCAAAGAGACCGCCGTAATAGTTCCCCGATAAAATGCAAATAACCACAAGTGGAAACGGAAAAGACATGGAATCGACGTTATTGCCATACAGCTCTGATGAAGAATCTGATGCCGATTCGGACCGAACGAGAAACCAATGAAAAAGGGACGCGGAAGCCCTACCAAAATTTATAAAAAAAATCGTAGGCAAACGTAACCACCCAACGAATTTACAAGAAGAACCTTTCTAAAACTCTTATTTCAAGATTACGTAAACGGCTCAAAATGATCAAGTTATCAATGCTTTAGAAGCCGTAATTTTGGGACATGAACTAGAAGGCGTCCAACTTATTTGAGGAAACTACGTCTTGGAGATTCTGATGAAAACCGACACAGCGAGGAACCTATTGTTAGAGAGGGGACTCAATGTGAGCGGCATTCATCACCTTTTTCAACAATCTAACTTCGATCGAGAGCCAAGCGAAGTTACTCACGTTTCTGTATTTGGTCTACCGATAGAGCATAGAAACCTTCAGATCGGAAACATCTACGAACAGATGGGCTACAGCAACCATGTTTACGCAAAGCCTGTCATGAGGAAAACGCCTGTTAGTGGTACGGATTACTTTACGGGTATCCTCGTGGCGGTTATAGAAAACGTGCCTT